TCTTGGGCTTAAGCGATTCTCTTGCCTCAGCCTCCCAAGTAGCTGGGACTACAGGCACCCGCCACAATGCCCAGCTATATATTTTGTTGTTGTTGTTGTTTTTGTTGTTTAGCAGGCCCAGGCCAGGTATGAACCGCCAACCCCAGTGTATGTGGCGGGTGCCCTAATGACTGAGCTATGGGAGTTGAGCCAGCTTTTTCTATTTTTTTTTTTGAGACAGAGTTTCAAGCTGTAACCCTGGGCAGAGGGCCATGACATCACAGCTCACAGCAATCTCAACTCTTGGGCCAAGTGATTCTCTTGCCTCAGCCTCCTAAGTAGCTGGGACTATAGGCTCCCACCACAACGCCCAGCTATTTTTAGAGACAGGGTCTCGCTCTTGCTCAGGCTGGTTTTGAACTTGTGAGCTCAGATAACCCACCTGCCTCTGCCTCCCAAGTGCTGGGATTATAGGGATGAGCCACACTGTGCTTAGTCATGAAATTCTTATCATAAGTATTATATGAGAAGTTGTAACCTTTATAGGCCAATAAAACAGATGTTATACTTGTTTAATTGATGAAAATAAATGTATCACACTGCCCTAACAAATGGAAAAAGTACTGGATTGGGAATCAGGACAGTCAGGTTTTACTTTAGACTCCACCAAAATGCGACTTTAGGCAAGTCATTTAACCTCTCTGCAAATTGAGCTCTGGAGTCCAAGTATTCTTCTGAGGTTTAAGACGAACTTGCAATTAAGGGAGAGGCCCCTAGATGGTGGTGTTGTCCTGAATCTGGACTTGTATTTTTTTTTCCTTCTATAGTTACTGTGAAGTAAAAAGGCACATAGGTTAGAAAATGATTTCCCATTAGTTCTGAAAAAGTTCAGTTAAGAATTTACTCAATGGGGCGGCACCAGTGGCTCAGTGGGTAGGGCACCAGCCCCATATACCAAGGGTGGTGGGTTCAAACCCGGCCCCGGCCAAACTACAACAACAAAGAATTCACTCAATGGCATTCAACATGGCATTAAATCATGAATCATATGTGAATATAGTCCCTTGTAATTAGTCCATGTATCTTATTACTATTTTCTCTAGGTATATTTATCTAAGCTTAAGAAACTGAGTAAAGGCCACCTTTAGCTTAGTAGTTACAGTGCTGGCTCCATGCACAGGGGGTGGCAGGTTCCAACCTGGCCTGGCTCTGCTAAACAACAGAAAAAGCAAAAAAACAAAACTCAACAATGATGGTTGAGAGCACTGATTTACAATCTTACAGAAAAATACTTTTTTCCAAATGTCAGTTCTAACAATAAATTTTGAGAAATGCACTGATTTTTTTCATTGTAAATGTGACAGACTGTATTCATACCCTGTGATTTTCATGGCACAAAAACAGACATATTCCATTACTTTTCAGCCACATAAATGGGCATCTTTTAAAGAAATATGCTTTCAGGAAGAGTGGGGCAAGGAAGAGAAGAATAATAAAATTTTCTTTTCCTTTTTTAAGACAAGAGTCTCACTTTGTTGCCCTTGGTAGGATGCCAGGGCGTCATAGCTCATAGCAACCTCAAACTCCTGGGCTTAAGAGATTCTCTTGCCTCAGCCTCCCAAAGTAGCTGGGACTACAGGCACCTGCAACAATGCCTGGCTATTTTTAGAGACAAGGTCTCACTCTGGCTCAGTCTGGTCTTCAACTTGTGAGCTCAGGTGATCAACCCACCTCAGCCTCCCAGACTGCTAGGATTATAGGCGTGAGCCACCACATCCGGCCTAAAACTTTTCTAACTTAAAAAAAAAATTCTGTCCACCTGGCGCCCATAGCACAGTGGTTACAGGGCGCCAGCCACAAGCACTGAGCCCGGCAGGTTCGAACCTGACCTGGGCCAGCTAAAAACAACAATGACAACTGCAACAAAAAATAGCCAGGCATTGTGGCAGGTGCCTATAGTCCTGGCTACTTGGGAGGCTGAGGGAAAAGAATCGCTTAAGCCCAGGAATTTGAGGTTGCTGTGAGCTATAGCACCCTACTGAGGGGGAACACAGTGAGACTTGCTCAAAAAAAAAAAAAGAAAAAAAAAAGCTGTCTTTTCTTTTAATGTTCAAAATAAGAACAATATAATAAATGGGTTCTTTAGTTTTAACCCAACAAAGAAAGCACATTCAAAGATTCTAGTTTGAGGCGGCTTAGGTGAATGATACCAGGTTTTTGTTTTTTTGAGACAGAGCCTCACTCTGTCCTGGATAGAGTACCATTGTGCCTGACTGAACAGTATCAGGTTTTAACCTAAAACTCTTGGGGAAAAACAAGACAAAAACAAAACAAAACAAAAACCAGAACACATTCCTATTGCTCCCCTATGAAATTCAATGAGTATAAAATTATATTTCTCTTTAAACACAGTTGGATCTTGCATTGAATTCAATCAATACACAGAACAAGAAAGTACCTATGAAAGTCTATATATTTTATTTTTGCTTCCTGTCAGTTCAGTGGGTAATAAATGGCAAGCAAAAAATAAAGCATGATAGCTGGATGCAGTGGCTCATACTGTAATCCTAGCACTCTGGGAGGCCAAGAAGGGTAGACTGCCTGAGCTCAGGAGCTCAAGACCAGCCTGAGCAAGAGCGAGACCCCACTTCCACTAAAAAAGCAGAAAAATTAGCTGGGCATTGTGGGGGGTGTTTGTAGTCCTACCTACTCAGGAGGCTGAGGCAAGAGGATCATGTGAACTTATGAGTTTAAGTTTGCCGTGAGCTATGACACCACAGCACTCAACCAAAGGGAGACTTTGTTTCAAAAAAAAAAAATAGGGCATGACAGAATGAAATGACATAAAACTATGAACTTTGTTTCAATTATAGATTTTTGTCCACAAACTAAAAAGGAAAGAATTGAGGGGATCCAACATAGTATTGTTATATACAAATGTTATCCACTCACCCACCCACCCAACCAATCAATACTGAACCTGAGTGGCACAAAGGACCGGAGATATAAATAAGAAACCATCTCCATACTAAAAAACTCAGAATTATACGAGGAAAAAGGGACTTGGAAAGTTCAGTTCAGTTTATTATAGTGTCAAGTAGATTTACAACTATTGCACTTATCATTCTGCTGACAGAGGCCAAAATGTGAGGGGGATATTTTTCTCCAATAAAAATAGGTTTTCAGAATCTACTATATAAGATGTTAAAATTACACAGACAAATATATATACCTCGTGCTCCAGTCCATGTCCCCTTCTTGCTGTTGGATAGTTTGCTGCAATTGAGAATTAAGTTTAGATACTGCTTTAAAGTCATGCATTCCTCATAAAATCACTTTTGAATGAAATTTGACAAGAATTTTCTTTCTAATCTCTGCTTTACCCAAAACATATAGAAAAAGCAGTTCTCATGCTCCAAAACCAAATGTAACCACATAACTGGAAGATGAACTTTAGTCAAAGACAGAGTGGATAAATACTGCCTTCCTTATAGAAGAATTCCACGTGGCACTCACATAATGGTGTAAACACTGGTTACCTAACTTTTTAGACAATGGGAAAAAACAATAAAAGCTAAAAACTGGTCCAGCATTTGAAACTCTTCTCAAAATAGAAGAAAGTTATGAACATCGGTGGGAAAGTGTTTTATGTTTCCAATAAAATAGTATTCTGTTGATCGATCTACAAGATTGTCTTCAACCTATTCGGCATCAGCCCATAAAGTGTAATTGATTTAGTCATGTAAAGAACCGCTTTTATCTTAAGCTTAGAATGTTTAACAATGGATAGCAGGAAAGTTTTTTTTTTTTTTTTTTAAATTTACTCTAATAATTGTGCAGGGATGAGCTAGAGAAACAATAAAACAAAAAAAGTACCATTCATCAGTCCTCTTAAATTTTCATTCTGATTATATTGCAAAAAAATGAACTTTGGGGTTTGGCATTGTTTTCCATCTTAATAGCTATTCTGTACTCTAAGATATTATTTGTAATCCATAATGCATGCCTATAACAAAACACAGCTTTTATATATTACTGGGGTAATACAAAGAAAATGAATTTTCCTTTGGATACCAGTAATTGTCAAAGGAATGATTGAAGATTCAGAAAATGTGCTTTATAACAACTCTGTTAACAAAGTATAAATTGAGAAAAGAAATAAGTATAGCATGTATACAGGAGGGTTAGTTGTATTAGCAAGGCATTTTAGGGATGGTTTTGGTTCTTGAGTAGGTAAGATACATCACATTTTGACCACCTTCAAATCCTTGGACAAATGGAAAACACAGTAACACAAGAAGCATTTGGTGAACATGAAGTGATTTCACTCAGTGCTTAAAA